AGATGGAATCCCAGCAGAGGCTTTGAAAATAGACCCAGAGACAACAGCGGACTTGATGACACCACTGCTGGAGAAGGTGTGGAAAGAGGGCAAAGTACCCGAGGATTGGAAGAACAGTTACTTATTCAAACTTCCAAAGAAAGGAGACTTAAGTCAATGTAAAAACTGGCGTGGAATTATGCTTCTGTCCATTCCAAGCAAGATACTAAGTCGCATCATCCTGGAGAGAATCAAACAAGCCCTAGATGAAAAACTTCGTCCGGAACAGGCTGGATTCAGGAGAAACAAATCATGTATTGATCAAATCGCCACTCTACGGATCATCATTGAACAAAGCTTGGAATGGCAGTCACCTCTCTATCTCAACTTCATCGACTTTGAAAAGGCCTTCGACAGCGTCGATCGAGAGGTCATTTGGAAACTACTTCGCTACTACGGGGTCCCATCGACAATTATACACCTCATCCAACAGTTATACGACAATGCTGCATGCCAAGTAATCCACAACGGGAAACTTACGGAAGCCTTCGAAGTGAGGACGGGAGTGAGGCAAGGCTGTCTACTATCACCAATGATCTTCCTGATTGCAATTGATTGGATAATGCGACAGACAACGGCAACCAACGAGGGAACAGGCATAAAATGGACTGACACAAAAGACTTGGAGGATCTGGATTTCGCCGATGATATATGTCTGATTTCCCATAAACTGGAAGATATGCAAGTGAAAAGTAACAAGTTGGCAGAAGAAGCATCAAAGATAGGACTTCACGTGAACATAGATAAAACAGAGATGATGAAGATTCCTAGCCAACATCAACAACACCAACAGACCACAATAAGCATAAATGGGAAGAACCTGAAAGAAACAACCTCCTTCACCTACCTGGGAAGCATCGTCTCAACTACAGGCGGAACTGACGAGGACATCAAAGCCAGAATCGGAAAAGCAAGACAAGCTTTCATTACTCTCAAATCTGTGTGGAGGTCAACAGCAATCAGCATCAAAAATAAGATCCGGATTTTCAACTCCAATGTGAAGTCAGTGCTACTATACGGATCAGAGACTTGGCGAGTCATAAAGAGCATCTCAAACAAACTTCAAACCTTCATTAACAACTGTCTCCGCTCAATACTCAAGATCAGATGGCCAGAAAAGATCAGCAACAGGGATCTCTGGGAGCGAACCAATCAGGAACCGATTGTGAAACAAATAGGCAGAAAGAAATGGAGATGGATTGGCCATACGCTGAGGAAACCATCAAGTGACATCACTAGACAAGCCCTCGAGTGGAACCCGAAAGGGAGGCGGCGAGTTGGTCGTCCAAGGGTGACTTGGAGGAGGTCATGCGAGGAGGAGATGAAAGCATGTGGACAGACCTGGAGCAGGGTGAAAAAGTTGTCAGAAAACCGAAGTCAATGGAGGTGCGCAGCTGAAGCCCTATGTTCCTCTAGGAACTAAAGGATACAATAATAATAATAATAATTTAATAATAAGCCGTAATGTGATTTTCATTGACGAAGATGGTAGTGCTTCACTTGCATCTATACAAGTTGTAGGGTACAGTAGTTATTCAAGTGCCATTCCCATCCTTACTTGCTGGTGTAATTAACATTCCTTATGTTTGTGTTTGCATACGCACGTGAGAATTCTTACATATTGGGATGCAGAGTTTCCTCTTCTCAACACGCCTGGTTACATACTATGTTTTGCTGGCAACTTTTGGTTTTTTTAAAATCATATTACTTTTTTACCCTCCGAAAATTAATTTTTTATGAACTTCTTTGGGATAGTGTAAGTGTATGCTTTAAATTTGACCTTTGGCGCCGTCGCGACGTTAGCCTGGCTGTCAAAGGTCAGGTATACAATGCTTCGGTGAGGGCTGTCTTGCTCTATGCCTGTGAAACCTGGCCTCTCCGAGCTAAGGATGTGCGGCGACTCTACGTGTTCGATCATCGCTGTCTGCGCAGGATTGCTTGCGTTCGATGACATCATAGCGTGAGTAATTCTGAGGTTCGGCGGCGTGTGTTTGAACACAGTGGAGATCACCATTCATTAAGTGTCGTCATCTGGAAACACCGGCTCCGGTGGCTTGGACATGTGCTGCGAATGTCATCCCAGAGGCTTCCGTACAGGTCTCTGTTCGCTACCCCTGGGACGGGATGGAAACGACGGAGGGGTGGTCAGTCCATGACGTGGCGTCGTGGGATGAAAGATGTTTGTGCTAGATTAGCATCGGTTGGTGCGCCACGATTCCCTGGTTGGGGTCTACGAGATAGCTCGAATCGATGGCTCGAAAGGTTATCGGATATGGCCAAGAATCGTAATCAGTGGCGAACGTGTTGCAATTTCCTTCTTTCTTCCCTTCCCAATGTTAGTTAACGAATACTGGTTGAACTTGTTAAGCATGACTGTTTTCCTTCCAGATGAAGTTCTTTATCCGTTCTCTACTTACATCTTTTTTCTTTTTACTTTTGATCCATGTTGTTTTATTATTGTGTGTGTGTATGGCTAATCTTTCTTGGTGCCATATTGTACCAAGTTTTTTTCTGTGTTTAAATAAATAAAAAAAATGACTGTTTTCTATACTTTTGCAAAAAAACTTAAGAGGTTGTTCGTCTTCTAAGCATAGGAGAGAGTATTTCTCTATCACCATCTTTGATATCAGTTACGGAGGTATTCAGGACCCTACTGAATAAGTATTTAATCAAGCTTTTTTGTATTGGATTGGATAGGAACTTTGAAAACAGATATACAACCTCGTCCCAGTAGACTTTCTACCAATGAAGCGTTATAAGGAGTCATTTCTTCTGCTTAAAAGTATGTTTGAAAATGCAAGCTAATCGCTGTTTTCTTGCTTATATATAAGCTTAATGTAATCTTGGGTGGTATTTTAATTGACATGCGACAACTTCGCGTTCATCATCAACATACACATTCCTGATTACCAAATACTTTTATAGAATAATCAATTTCACTACTTCAAGCATGAATACTTTTTTCTGTACTATATATATATATATATATATATATATATATATATATATAAGCAAATAACTGTTCATGTGTGTATGTGTTGGTGTTTAGCTTAGGTGTACTTATCTGTATTTTATTGAACTCAAGTGTTCTGGTTCATTCCCCCCTTAAATAGTTTGTACTTTACAGGCATATATATATGCATCGACTCACTCAGATGTGTATTTCATGTACCTCTCTTGCGTCATCTTATTTACATATTAGCGTTTGAAATATAGTGTCACACTCTTTTCTGCCATTAAGTCATTGACATTTCAATAATCCATTTCATAATGTCGGGAAAAAGTCAATTAACTATTATTACAAAATTTCTATTGTAATATAAGTAACTCGTAGTTATAAATTTTTCTCAATATATGTGTGTGCTGTAAATCAACGTATAACATAATACCTGTTCTGTTTTCAATCAATTAATTATCTCTACAAGTTTCTGTATTTAGGCATATCTGAATACCTGAACTCATTACCTGAAGTATTTAGATACAGACTATATTTGTTATCCTGATTTCATTCATACAATTGTGACTTGTCTGTAAACAGGCAACTATGCATTTTTATTACGTGCTCATCCATTGGAATACAGTGTTAAGTTGCAGCTTCTCGAATGCTTATCAGTCTCTATCTACAGTAATATGACGTGCTTATCTCGATTCTTGGTTAGCATCTTATAATGGGGTATAGGATCAAGCCCACTCAGCGTTATATTGGTTATAGAGCCAATTGTTTGTTTTTTCTTGCTCAATATATAGGTGCCTGTACGATGTTTCAGGTTTCACTAACTATTTACTTATGTTATGGTTTACGTTATGGTACACATATATATTGCTTTTTATATGACATGGAATAATGTATACTTCTTTCATATTACGATGAGAGTTTGTATTTGATTAACAGTTTTTAATGTCTGTTATACTTTGTCTTTCTACCCATGGCGTTTATAATGTTAAGCTAAGAATTCTGTTACCACTTACTGATAAATGAATAACAGATGCTGCTGACGATAAAAAGATAATTAAACTCCTTGGTACTGCTTTATCTCCTGAGTAATCAGAAACGTCATCCTAATATATACACAGTTACTTTAAGGTAATTTATATCAATCAAGGTCACATAGTATCTAAAGTCATTTCAAAGACCAGCATTATTCACTGCACATAAATTTTATTATCCTGTAGCAAATATGCTGTGAGTTGATTTTTTTAATTGCAAACATCACAGGTACACCAATCATTCAGTGCAACTCATTTGTTTCATAAAGTTGGATCTCTGCACACAGTAATCACAGATTTATCATACCTTTTTCATAGGTTTAAACAAAATACATTGCAATACGGTTTAGAAAATGTAGCCTGATATATTTTCCAACATGACAGGTACTTACACACACTGGTGGATAAATATTCGTATCTTCCACTCTCTCAAATTTTTTGCTACATGCCTCTGTATCACCCAGTATTCGTACTTCGCTTAGAATAATAAGACGACATCACGTCGTTAACTATGTTGAAACGGCCGGTTATATCTTAGATACAGAATTCAAAGATAGTTTATATTTCTACATTTTGTCCATTACATGGATAGGATCATAACAATAGTTAGTATTTTACCATATATATAATAATGGGACCTAGTGCATTAAAGTATACATTGGTTAGGTTGTATTCATTACTCTTTTTGAATAAGCGTGGGTACTTACAGTTTCAGTGCCTTAAACAACCATAATTCTAATACTGAACAAAAGAACATATTTTTCTAAATGTACTCCAAAATATTTTTGCCTGAATTTAACTGTATTCGTCCATCTCTTGAAGACTCTAACTTTAATCCCTCTAAATTCAATTAACAGACAACTGTAATTTCTTTTTTTTGTGTTCGTTTGTGCATGAACAGATACATGCAGTGTTTTATTCCAATAGATAAGTGTAATGGTTATTTATGTTGTATTATTTGTTCTGTCTTATAGGCACACAAGACTGTACAGTACAAACAGACAATAGTTGCTTTTATAACTCAGCCCTTACTCCCTCTGTCAGATTAGCTGCTTTGAATTTGGTGAATAATGCGCTGCAAAAAATTACAGTAAGTTCTTGGAAAATGCTTAGAAATCTTCATTTCTCTCTCTCTATTTGTTTCTCTGTCTTGTATGTATTGCACTTTTCAGATACCTCCTGTTTATCGATTTTGAATCTTTAATTTTTCCTTTTCACAACTCAGTCTGTCGCTTGGTTATTCAGTATTCTTGCAGATGGCATTACACTCAATGTACTACTTAAAAAATTTAGTTAGTAATACTCGTCACTCAGTGTATCATTTAGTTGGTACCCCAGCTATTGTAAATCACAGATCATCAAATTCCTGCCCAGGCCAGGCGACTGATGAACGGTCAAGGAGTTCGGTCTCATAACCTGAAGGTCCAGAGTTCGATTACCTGTTGAGTCGTGGATGTGCTTTCTTGAATATTCCCAAACTAGGACAAAACAGCTCTCCAGTGATCTCTAACTAACATTGGTTCGTAACGAAGTCTACATTGATATTGTAAATTTTTTTTCCTTATTCGTTGACCGTTGAATAATTGAGTAAATAATTATTTCCTCTTCATCTTTTCATCAACCTAAATTGCACTCATTTGATTTTTCATTTTTTTTGTTTTTGCAATAGCAATTGGAAATGAAATTATCTATATTATATAAAACTTATAGCAATTTGCCATCAGTTCCTATTAAATTACCGTCTGATGGTTTTAATTCGACATTGCACAGTCTAAAATCACCACAGAAATTATCTACTCCATCGTGGACAAATGGTCCTATTCAATTGTAAGTCTCCTATGTGCATTTCGTAATTAATTACCATACGTAAATTTAGTAATCGATTGTGTATCCACTATAATGGTGCTAAATTTACTGAATATTAGTCTTCAAGTATGAGTGAAAATTATTACATCAAACATTGTCAGACCAAAGAACACTTGCAACTGTATACTCGACATTTATTCCTCTGTAATTACTCAATGCTCGCGTCAAACACTACACAATTGTGTATATACGTAAACGATGTGTCAATGTCTCCTGATTACGAAAACGTCTTTGGTTTTTGAATTTCATCAGAAATATATATATATATATAATATTATTACCGTGTTCGGATTAGCGAGTCTTTCGTGCTATTTCACCCTAAGTAGTACGCTGACCCTGCCAGTTCATACTATTGGTTATGGATCAGATTAATACTGTTAACAGTCTGTGAAGCAGCTTATAAGACTCCAAGGTGGATATTTTTAAGTGTAAAATATATTCATTGTAGTGAGTAAGTTCATTTAAAGGTATTTAAATAGTCAACATGTACTACGTAATCGTGAGACTGATCATGTCTAATCAGATTTATATCAAGATATTACTGACTAACCAATTAAAGCATATTTTCAGTTTATTTTAGCTCAGTCTACTCACACGTATGTAGCATTGGATGTATATTATTTTTGTACAATATCGATTTCATCATCAATTAGTACCTTATTGATTCCTACGAATGAACACTAAGTATCTATGCTTATTTAGTTATAAGTTTTTTGTTTTTCTAGAATATTTTGTTGCTGGTTAACCGTAACTAAAGAATTCAGTGAATTTCTTGATTCGTGTGTACTTTTTTTAACAGCTTCAATGTAGTTGCTTTATTGTAATCTCTTGAATATATCACTGTTGGAATTGTATGTTGATAGCCTACTTATTTTATAGATGATTTATTAGTATATTTTTAGCTTTCCATTCTCAACTTAAATGATAACCTGCACCATTATACTGTTTCATTAAATCATCAAGTAAGCATTAATCCATCACGCACTTACGTGTGTAGTAGGCATTGTGCGAGAATAGACAGCAATTTCTACGCAATGGATGCTGCTTATTGTGTGACACATATATTTATAAGAGTATTTTTGAATATTTCCAATCCACATTATGTGGCATTATACCTTGCTTAACATTGTGTAGGTTGTGTTTATTGTATATCTCATTAGCCTTGAAGGTGGAGTGGATTTTCTGGTGAGACAATCTTAAAGATAGCATCATGGTAGTTATGATGAACCATGAAAATATAAGCTGAAAGCTAAAGAGCGAAAAATCCAGCAAAACATGTTAATATGATGAATTTTCCTTGTATTGTTTTGTCTATAATGCTCATTTCATTTAGCAATATCTGTATTTATCCGCTGTCTGTATATATATCTGCAAGGATTCTTTGTGCAATGTAGTTATAGCTCACAGTTCTTTTTGTGAAGTCAGGGAGCATAGACATTTCATTAGTTTATGGATTATTGTAGGTGTTGCATTGAACTTTAATGTTGTAGATTGTAATCCGCTTAGTTTATTTGAACAGACAGGTAAATTCAGCCTTCTTCAAACAACCAATGCGATCACATTTTTAAATGTTTGAATGTGTGCTTATGGTGCTGATATGCATGTCTGTGTATAACCACTTCAATAACACAACTCGTTTACCTGGAGTAGTCTTCTCAAGCTTTGAATTACACAGTTTAAAGGAAGATTATACTACCCACTTGGTGTAGTGGGATTTAAACTTCGGACGCGTCGAGTGAATGTAGTGTGCTTAAGCTAAGCTAACCAGCCACATCTCCACAGAAAAACACAGAGGTAGTAAAATGATACATATAATGAAGTTTAACCGATCACAAAAATCTGTTTTTTTAATTTTGATGCATAAGTCAGTCTGATGTATTACTATTATTATTCCCCTTGATCCCAAGGGGAACATAGAGCTTCAACAGCCCATCTCCACCTTGTTCTTTCCTATACAGTCATTTATAGTTGGCTCCATGACTGTCCATAAACTCTCATCTCCTCCATGTCGCCATCAGACACTCGACGACCAGACGCGCAATGTTATCCAACGATCTCATGTGCTTGTCGTTCGATTCGTCTTCATTTTCTTCGGAATATTTGTTGCGTTCTTGATTGGTTCTCTCCCGTATTTCCTTGTCACTAATCTTTCGGGGTCCTCTTATCTTCAGTATAGACCCAGTGAATCCAGCTGTTGATAAAAGTCTGTAGTGTGCTCAAAATGCTTTTCGTGACGCACGAAGTTTCTGATCTATATAGAAGAACTGACTTTTAATATTGGTGTTGCGAATTCGTATAGCAACACACAATCACATTTAACTGTTTTGTTTTTTGAGTGCGTTGATCGGCTTGTAGATTTTCAGGAATTCCTACCTCTTTTGCAAGGTCTAGACCTTTTGCCTCTACGTCAATAAAGACGATGCACTAGCGCCTATCTATTCATTCTTAACGAATACTAAAACAAAACAAAAAAAGAATTTCGAAAATTCCAGGCTATGTTAACTTTTTTATCAGGAGACAAAACACAAATAATAATTAAAGATTTTAGCAGTAATACCAGTAGTCGATAAATGGTACAATTCTCTTATCTGACACTGTGTTGATGATATTAACTATGTATAAACCTTTTTAAAGCATTGCACTTTGATTTTGTACTTTTCATTCTATATCCCTATTTATAACTATAATAATTGTAACTTTCGTAGTCATCTTTTAGAATGTAAAGGGCACTAGTTAAGTTTTGTTGCTAAGGTGCTGCAAATTGGTTTTTAGTCACAGAATTTACTAAAATACAATAATACTTCGAATTTCTAAGATATTCCGAGTTACATCAAATCAGTACTTTAATGCAGCGTATGGTAATGAAAACAAACCTAATCAGCGGTATTATTTGTCATCATTTGTGTGGGAAAATAATATTTTCCCGTCGGAAGACTTTATCTGTCTACTCTTTTCTTTAGTGGGAAAGTACCTTATTAAGTGTGATGTGAGGGTTAGGAGGGGAAGTTAACGGGTGAGGTTGTGAAGCTACCTCGTTTGAGATGCTTAGAACACGTGTTACACAAACCAAGCCATCGCTCTCCGTATTGAACAATATTAGCTGGTTTAGAATTGGGTTGGGAAAGTCTTAGGAATGGTTGAATAAGAAAAAGTACAATGTAAACTTGCATTTGATTTGAATAATCGACCACTTCACGTATACGAGTAGATACATCAGTAATCTTGAATTTGAAATGTTCTCCACTGTTTTGCCATTTCTCAAATCCATCAATAAGAATGTTTGACTTACTATCTTGTATGTTAACCTTCGTGCAATAACTCATACGGATGAATTGTGTATTGTTATAATTATGCTTATCGGTATTACCTTCTTTATTTGTATTTAAAAGTATTTGTGTATTTCGTTATCATTCTATATTTTCACTTTGTTCTATTTTTGCAGAGATCCTCCATCAGTTGACCAATCACCTCGTAAAAATCCTGAACAAATGCTGCTTGATTAGACAATGTAATAAGCAAAAAGAGCTTATTGATATACTTATATGTTTGTGTACTTGTTCGGTTGTGTAAGGAATTTTCCCTCTACCCTGTTTTGATTGGAGTGCATTTCATCTGTTTTTAATGTATGAGGCCTTTTTTTTACCATATTCTTTCTTTCTGTGTTGTTTTTCACCTCTCTCGATGTTCCCACTTCTAAATTGTGTCATACAGCCTTACTACTGGAAATCCTATCATTTCTGACACACTTGTAAAAATTGAAGACATACTTTTCAACATGCCTTCTAAGAACCTGTCTTCTTTATTCCTTCTCTCAGGCGATTCACTGTTTCATATTTTTTCCTCTTTGTAAAGTTGTATCAGTCAGTGCATCATGCATAACAGACTTCTTTCATCTCTGTGTGCTTAAAACACTCTGTATTATCTCTCCTATTTTATTAAGAAAGAATTTAACCATATTATTGTGTGCATACATGTGTGTGTCAATACACGCATAACTTCACCTTCTTTCCTGAAGTATTACCGTACTTCCATACTGACAGCTACACAAATGCGTACATGGATAGCATATTGTTAAACAGGGAACTATGTTAATGCGTGAATCAGTGTTTTTAAACTCTATTTATTATTTGTTGATTATCGCTATCCATTAAACCTGAATTCTACCATCTATGCATTATTCATTCCCGAATGTGTATCATAATTTCAATCAATTTCATTGTTACTGGTGGTGGTCAGTTAAGTGATTTGCATAGCACCGTTTTTCTCTTCTTGTTTTTTCGATAAAGAGTATAAAATATTACCAGTTTTAAGGGAATTGTTTCTTTCTTCTCCTTTTCCTTTAACCGTATATGTCACTTCTCTTTTGGTTAGATGTTTCTTATTCTACATTTCTATCCACTATTAGTTGCATTGATTTCTTCCCATACTACTGATATTGACATACGTTCATATAGTTCTTAATTATTGAAGGTGTGCATGTTTCTGCTAGTCATCTTTTTTCTGGATGTGAATATGCTATGTGGTTTTGTCTTCTTTACGTGTAAAGTTAAATAGTTTGTTGATAAAAATGTACACAAAATACAAACGTTTGCCGTGATTAAAAACGATAACATTTGATTTTTCTCCATACCTTCACATGACATTTTTCTATTTTGGTTTATTAGTGCAATAACAGACATCACCGGTGCATTATGCTGCCATATACTACTAGTTGGTTGATATAAGTAGTTGGATACCGCTCACATACACTAGTAGTGCTTGCTAGCTAACTAGATTGGAATGGCTTATACACCGGACCACCGTTTCGCTAATTTAGGGCAGACCTCACCAGTTTAGATATGATGCAGAAGATTTGTAGCTCAGGTGCATGGTTTAAAATTGAAGTATGCACTGAAGATGTTGCCTAGTAGGGCAACGAAAGCTTCGCAAATTAGCTATCCAGCTCCGAGAACACAACCACATCAAAAGACCTCACAAGTGGTGTGCTGAGGTTATATATATATATATATATATATATATATATATATATATATATATATATATACCATTGTGCGTTTATGCTGGCTTTCTTGATTATCATTTTTAGTATCAAGCAGATCACATATTGTGATCGGAATAATTTCGGTTTCCAAAGGAAGCTGGTGAATTTCCACAAATCAGATTCCAGATATCATTAATTCTAACGGTAGCGACTACGGTCCCCCTAGGTGAGAGTTTTGATAAATCACAATATTTTGCAAACCTTTTCACCAGAAATTTGTTTTCGAGTTGGCATTCACCATAACTTTCGCTAAGGACTAGAACCAAAGTGTGTCATTTATTTGGCCTTAACCTTAAGAGGTTATTTCTCTCTTATTTCAGGGAGAAGAGATATAAAGGTCTATTAGCATTTTAGTGAAATATCAGACTAGATGTTAAAAATGTGCCTAGGACCTTCCTTCTGGACTGTCATTTAGTTCATTTGGTAGTTTTGGCAGTAAGTACTGAGCATTCATATCCTAAAATTCATCTCTAAAGAACTATTCTCAATGAGTTAAGACAGTCAATAAAAATTCCTTGACGGAGTTTTCAAACCTATGTTCATGAAAAAGAGCTGGTGTTTACTCGCCTCCTACTATTCGAGAAACATCATGCACACACAAAAAAAAACAATTTTTTCATCATCTCAGATTAATTACAGGTGCATAGGAAGTTAGTTAGTAATCTTTAAAGTATGTGGCTTGTCCACATGATTTATTACAATCCAGGTCTTAAGCTGAATTCTGTTCTATTTCAAACCACTTTACGATTCATGAAAACTGGTTGCTATGATGTTGATCATAATTGGTTATACGTGGAATGTGTTGCATCAAGGAGATGATTATTGACGCTGAAACAGAAATTTACACCTGCAAATAGATGCCTTAGGTCCAGTTGTTTTAAAGTCTATCTCAGTAATTAGAACCGCCACCAGTCATAAACCTGCACTTTTCTCATGTGACTGACTACAAAAGAAGGTACTTATCCATGATATCCATACATCCATTGTTGGTATATTAGATGTAAAGTGATATTAACGTAATAGGGACTGTGGTGAGTGTAGTTCTTAGGACTACCGGCAGCTAATTGCTCCAGTTTCCATGACAGGCACTACACAGTTTTACCTTCATGTGAGTAGATTTAAAATTCCACTTCACATTGAGTTACAGTATTATCCAGCTTTCGTGTGAATACAGAAGCGCAGTTACGATGTCTAAACTACTCCGTTAATTTTCCAATCAGTAGATTATGTCAACATTTCCGTCATAATAGTAGTTAGTTATCATTATAATGGTTAGGTGGTTCTTAATTTTCCTTATACATAATTTGTTAATAAATCTAAGCAGTAGGTTGATAATTTCTTACCATCAAGGATGTTGTGGCCTACAACGTGACATCTAATACAGTTATGATGGAGCCGCTCGTTGTGTTTAAGCTTATCATCACCAACGTTTTCACACTGAGTCAAATCGGACAATAGGTAAGTCTGTCCACAACTCGACGAAGCCTCAGTATTGATGTACGCTGCCTTACAAAACTGAATATCATGTTCCGCATGCGACAATTAGTGAACTCCGTGACATTGACGTCTAGTTTAGTTGGTATCAGTGTCACGCTAAGCTCTAGATCCAAAACTGCATTACTTCACTGGGTCTCTACCTACAGCAGTATATGTACTGTTGTGGTGAGAGCAGGCCGTGAGAAAATATGTACAAGGCTGATTTAACAACCAATCACAGCAAAGTTGACGTGGCAAAATATGATTCGCAGATAGAGAACTCTATTTGTCGAGGAATCCCTAAACAACCAATCCGAAGCCTGCGTTTGTCTGCCTAACTTCTGATAAACAACCAATCAGATGACTGCGCTTGTCTACTTGCATAAGCTATAATAATGTATGTGAAATATATATAAATACGTGTTGATTTTCATAAGAAAACGATCTGTTGCCTGGCCCTTGTCTTCTGTGATTGGTTGTTAAATCAGCCTTGTACATATTTTCTCACGGCCTGCTCTCACCACACTGTGAAGGTAAAAAGTTACACTAGAGTAAGAAGAAACCAGTTAGACAAGCGTTACCTTTTCGTCAAATCTGCGTATGCACTGGTGAGATGCAACTAAGGATGGATGCTACCGTCCAATTATTGGGCTCGAACATGTGCATCCGATAGATATCGTAGTGCCAGCTGAGATTTGAATGCACAGGTAGGCGATTTAAGCGAAGATGAGAGTCGTTTAGGTGGTCAGTTGGAACTGGATTGTCGTCCGACCGATAGCTATTACCTTGACGTGGTGGCCGGACTTGCAAATCGCAATGATATCGATTAGACTAGAAGTAGTTACCGGCATAGTGTAAGATTTTTTACATTATGGTGGGGGTCTGTGGCCAAAGTAGTTCTGCTCAGGAAAGTGGATGTAACAGCAGCAAGGTGTTTCCCTCAAATGACCAGCAAGTCAAATATGCTGCTCATCCAGTCTGGAAGGGTTGATCGAAAGATTGACCTCATAAATTGTACATTCCCAACTTCCCTATAGTGGTCTGTAGGCGAAGGTAAATTACTAGTGGGGAGAAAACTTCGAAAAACAGTTCAAATAGGCAGTGTGTGACGTGCCCCACACAATTTTCCTTTGCGTTCTACTGTCACCCAAAACTGCTTTTTTTTTTAGGTACCTCAGAGGAAAAATCAAGTTTTACCGTGCGACCAGCTGCGAAATAAAAACCTCCCACACACTTCCAAAAGCATACGAAGCTCTCCTGATCGTCAGCCACCTGCATCTGCGTCACTTTCGTTATCTTGCTTTCCACCTACTGTTAATACTATTGTACAGACTGGTCCTCCATCTCTTCACTCTTTGACTAATAACATCGCTGACATCTCAAAAACACTCCTGATGGCCTCCTAACGCCACGCTGCCAACCTCATATTGGGGCGTTTGACGTCAGAACCATTCACTAAATCTAAATCTAATCAGAACTCTGGCAGACGACTTCAATGCTTAAGTAGGGAAATCGTATCAGTCTGCGCAGTTACCAGTAAGGATGAAACTTGGGCACTGTGGTAGAGCATAATTCCATTATGGATAAAATTTTATTTTGATAAAGTCACAGAGTTATACAGCAGTATTTACTGATGACGCTTTGAGCACAATTTATTGCTGACGAACCGACAACGGCGATCTACAGTTCTGTTCATAAAACGATCTCTTCCTGATCGGTACTATCTTCAAACAAAAAAGATTCTGTCTGACGTGGTACCGTCCATCATGAGACCAACGATGACCTCAAATAGACCACACAGCTACAGGCTACCGTTGGCGGGAGTGCGTAGAAAACTGTGTCGACTTCGATCACGCTCTGGTTCGTGAACGTTTGTGCTTACGAATAAACTGACAAAAACAATCAGCACTGAAGCCACTACATTCTTAACTTAATCAGGACTCTGAGTTGCTATTAATAGTGTTCTCTGAGCTGGTTAGTTTAGTT